TCTTTTGGACGAGTCAAGTTGAGACTGTGACTTCTGACCTCAGTGAAGGAGTTATGTTGAACCTGATCTCAAAGGTTGAAATGTTGAAAAAAAAAAAAAAAAGAGGAATCACTGAAAACACCCCTGCCCCAAAATTACATCTTATTAAAAGGCTATAAAATCTATTACCATCTAGAGTTTCTACTTCATTTCTCAAAGTCATTCAGAGGGCAATCTAATTCATAGAGGATAATGACCTTTGCAGAACGCTCTGCTGATCTGCTCTATTTATTCCCCCTGAGTGTGTACGTGTGTGGGGGTGGAAGTGTGTATGCCTATGTTTTCCAGGTCTCCATCAGTGTGATTTACACAATGACCAAGTCTTGCTACACGTGGAAAATATCCTGACTGAGGAGACAAGAGATCACTGTAATTAGGACTGTCAAGTCTAAAGGAGTTCAAAGGAATATATTGTCTTTAAATAATCTTTGTATGGTTTAAAGGAGGAAACAGAGATCAATGCATACATTTGAAATCTGGGAGAGCTGTGAAATTCACTGTTTATGTGGAATGGATTATCATGAATACTCAAATGATCAATTAGTAATAAATTGATTTGTCCCATTGGACTACATATTGTCACTTTTTTCACAAGGGAAGAGCTGATTTTTTTATGCCTTTGTGTCAAAAGAGGCTATGTCATAAATATGCTTGAATATCATTTTATTATATCAAAACAATGAGAGAAAAAGCAGAGAAAGAGAGGTCTGTGGGGGGGCAGTGCCTGTGCGGGTGAGCAGGCTCAGGTGAAAAACAAGTGACAGAGAAATATGGGGAGGTGGCTTGAATTTTCCATCAGCTTTCTCTCGAACTAAGGAGCTCAATTTTGTAATTCCATCTGAAAATGCTTCAAATAGCAGAGATAAATAAAAGTCCACTTTATTTGGTGAGCTGGCTAAAACTATATCCCTGGGGAAAAAATCTTAAATGTGAATTAAATACGAGATTTGCCAAGACAAATACAGGTCTTTTTAGTGGTTTGTTTTTTTTCTTAGAAGTGTAATGACTAGCACATACCTGACATTCAATAAATAGTGTCAAATCAATTAACACTGAAAATATGTTTTGACCTTTTTGCCAATTAGAAGAACATAGCTGCTAAGTACTGTCTGTATAAGGAAGCTGTATATCTGTAAACTGCATGACTTTTTGTTTTTTTTAACACAGTGAAAACGAAAACCAACTGCAAAAAGGCAGCACTTAGTCTCTTATCTATAAAAGGGAGAGCAATCTTTAGCTACTGGCATCTCTTCTGCAAAATTCCGTGAATCCATTCTGGTATTGATTTTTTTATACGTCCATAATTCTTCCTCTCAAAGAAAAATACAACGAATTGATAGTCTAGGTCTGGGTTTGCTTTTGTAACTTTTCCTTTGATATATGTATGAATTAAATGAAAAGAAATCTAATGTGGTGAAACCAAAGAAATCTAATTTAAAAAACAAGTTCTTTCATAGGTACAAAAACAAACCCATAAAATTCCCAACAGGCTTTCATAATTCTTAATTGCATACATCACTTCCGCTGCGGCTGGTGTTTTAAGCATATGATCAAGTCATCTGGGCCAAAGAGGAATGTAAAACATTTCTCATGATGTAGTCTGTGTCCTTGTCTCCTTAGGGACATTTGTCACTAGATAGATATTTTGTTGTTTTTCACCTTTTGTGTTTTCCAGGTTGCTATAGAAAAAAAATCACATTCCATTTAACAACTAATGGTGTGACACAAAAAACACTTTAATCTATGGGAAGAGCAACTTTCTGAAAAGTACTACAGCAACATGTGTCTCTTGCTTTAGTGAAACCAAAAATGTAGGATTATTTATCGTTTTGCAAAGCCCTTTTACAAGATACTGACAATTGCCTTATGAGGTAAATGGGGAGCATTTTGTTATTATTTTACAGATGAGGAAACCAAGGCTCAGTGAGTTGAAGGGATTTGTTCAGGGTCACACAATTAGAGAAGGGAGGTACCAGATCTTCCAAATCAGCATAGCTTCTCTCCATGTCATATGCATATTGGTAATCAGTCCTACCTAGTTACTTGTTTATTCTTTGTATTATGGTTTAAACATAATTCTTGGGAGGAAAAGTAAATATGCTACAAAAAAAAAAAGCAAATAGAGGTTCAAGGGATTCTTTTTAATATGATAGTTTTTTATAAAAAAAAAAAAAAAAAAGATGTGTCATCCCAGGGTAGCAATGTCACTGAAGCTTAAAGAAGAAATGAGACTTAAAGGGCATCGGCTCTAACTAGAGCTCAGCACCTTAGTTATGATGGGAGTTTACTTAATGGTTTAAGAATCTCAAAGATATTTAACAATTCTTACACATGGCTTGGTGCCAGGGTCACGGCTGTTAGCTTTACAAAATTTTTTATTTAATTCATTTAAAAGCCATTCCCTGAAAGCCTCGCAAGGCCCAGGCTCCACTGTGTGTTGGGGCTACAGAAATGAATAAGCATGTTTAATAAGAGAAAAAAAAAAGGTAAGTAAGTAAATTAATGACATTAAAACAAGTTACCTGTGTAAACAGGATATTATAAGAGTCCAGGAGTTGGTTTCCTTTCTCCCATCAGCAGTGGTCTGTGCTCCTTTGTAAGTATTAACGAGCCTAGTAAAGGAGACATTTAGTAAAGATTAGTTACTCTGAGCCTACCTGCAGGCAGCCTTATTTATGAAAATAGAGGAAATAGGGAGATGAGAGACGCTTTCCTTTCCCTGGGAAGCCAACACAGTGCTTTTAACTGATTGCTGTTTTATTACAGTGACCAAAATACAGTCCCAATGATAGGCTACCTGGTCAGACCAGAACCCCTGCCCTGTACTTCTTCTCCGCCTTCTGGCCAGCCTCTATTCATTCTTAAAGACTCTACTCTAAGCCACTCTGCCACGCCTCCAAACTAAGATAAGGTTCATACTTGTACATATATAATGATCTATAATATATCATTCTTCCAACAGTGTGTGTTTCTCCACTAGGCTGTGACTTCCTTAGGGACAAAAATTACTGATATTTGTATTCACAGGGCCTTCCATAGGATCTAGCAGAGACTCAGTGACAGTGACAGCATGTCCAAGGGGTGGCATATAGTGGGGAGGAGGGCTCGGATTTAACTTTACCTTCACCTCCTCCTCAATGGTTTCTATTAACCATCCCTCCTTCATCCCAAATAGACATACAGTGCACTTCAAACCAGTATGCACGCTGGACCAGTGGAACCAAGGCAAGGCCCCTACCTTCCATTTCCAACAGGATAGAGGCCCTCCTATTTTTGACTGAAACTTAAGCTGCTAAAATACTTTTAGGGGAGAGGCAAGGTGAGAAACAGGAAAGAACCTGAATGGTCATGATTTTTTTCTAAATCAAGTTTAAACTAATTTACCTATAGCAAAATTTGCCTTATTGTATACAAAGTCTGATGAGTTTTGACAAATGCATGGTCTTATAACAGAGGGGACACTTCCCCATCCTCAAAAATTCTGTTCGAACTACCAGAATTTTACATGAACTCTTTAGAAGAACCACAAAAGGCTATCAAGATTGGAGATTAAGTAATGTAGCCTTGCATCTTGAACAACTTAACATATCTCTTCAAAATGAATTGCTTATTTTCCCTCGATCATAATGCCATCATTTGGTTGTGCTGCATTTTTCTTATGAGAATCTCAAAGCATTTAGCTATCAAGATTTCATTCTTATTCCCCCCAAACCTGGTCCAGCTATAAAGATTTATACTCCAGTTCAATGAAATCGGTGTATCTCTTCCCCAGTTAACCTGTATGTTTCTCTTCTTGCCATAGACTGCCCTGTAAATATGTTAACAGTGGTTAGGAGTATTGTTTTTGATGAGCTAGCCATTGGTTTTATCGTGGACATTGTGCCTTTCCCTTATTCCTCATTATATTCCTTTGTGGTGATGTTGAAAAGGCTCTGCATCCTGGGGACACTTGCTACATTTGGACTTGATTTAATGCATACGTGGAATGACACAGGAAACAGGTGAATGACTAAATAAAGGCATGAGTGAAAGAATGAGTGAGTGCATCCATTTCATGGACGGGCACCGTGAGGCCAGGAGACTGGCGGGAAGCCGCACACGGATGTTGCCGCAGTGCCCAATGGGATGTCAAGATTATTTTCTTTACTCTGTTTAGCTATCAACTCTAATTTTTAAAAATCCCCATGTAGTATCAACATAGAAAAGTAAAAATGGGAAAATAGGCCAAAAACAAATTACATGGCTTTTTGAAGTGAATTTAACGTGCAAAGAATAACATTGAGTAAAACTGGGGGGGAGGGGGAGTAGATTTTCACTTTTTAGGTAAGAAACGCTCTCCTCTCTTATTCGCTGTGAGTCCTTCCTCTCCATCAGATGGATTCACTAATACTTTTTGGTAATGCTCCTTGTATTTTTTTGCATAAAATACTTCGTATATGTGCCCATTGTGTTCTTTTTTAAACAGACTTCTTTAACGGAAAACACACACACACACACAATTACCTTCAGTTGCCCACTGTATTCTGACAAGTAGGAAGAGGAGGCTAGAAGAGGTCCTACGTAGAGAGGGAGCACCCATTGTTATACCTGCACTTGCGCTTTATTTCGTTTTTTCCACATTTGAACAGATCAGGAATAAATTTGGTTAAATTTCCATTGAGAGGCGTTTTCCCCCCTCATTCTGTATCAACAGAATTTCAATGAGCATAAAATAAAAACGTTCTACATTTTATATGAAAGTCTGATTTCAGTGGTCCTAACAACAAAAATAAAAGAAAAAAGCTCGTGAAGTGACCCTCTCAAGGGGCGTCAACTGTTTTTCGGTGCGTCCTGAGCTGCTGCCTTCTCTCCATCCGCTGCTCAGATTATTCATGAATTGCTGCGTCTTCAGCCCAGCTTTCTCTCTCCCTCCGCTTTTCTGGCGCGGCTCTCCCTCCCTCCCTCCCTCTGGCTTCTGCTCTTTCTTACTCCTCTCAGCTGTTAACTACAGCTCCCATTGGAACTTGCACAGTCAAAACCAGCTCTCCGCTGGAGCAGCCTCCAGAAGCGCATCACCTGGAGCGGAGAGACTCTGCCGGCGCACCCGCCGCAGAGCCGCCAGGTAGCTGGGGGCGCACAGAGGGTGCCCTTCTCCCGCTCGGCAGCAGCAGGAGCCTCTCCCCGGAATCCGCTGCATCCCGGGGTCCTGCAGCGGTGATGCCTGCGTTTCGGAGCAACGATGGAAAAAGAAAAGCCGCTGCTCGCGGCAACTGAGAGTGGGAATCGGTTGCTGCAGTAGCCGGTGCCGCAGAATGTGTGAGTGAAGACCTGAGCCCCGCTAGATTCTCCATCCCGCTCTTCGTTAACTATCTCCAGGAGGCAAACCGGGAACCAGATGCACTGACCAGGCGGGTGCCACCCTGGATCTATAACTGTGAACTCCCCACTGTGGAAGATGGTAAACAAAGACATGAATGGATTCCCAGTCAAGAAGTGCTCAGCCTTCCAGTTTTTTAAGAAGCGGGTAAGGACAGGTTTTTGTTTGTTTCTTTTGTTTTCTGCTCTTCTTTCAAATGCATTTGATTGCTTGCCCGAAGTAAGCCTAAGATTTTGTTGCAGAACCCTGAATGGAAACCGTGCTTCTGGTAGCAGTGGTCCAGCTGGGAAATCTACCTGCCTTGATGCAAATTTGTGGGTGGGGGCGTCTAGGAAGAGCCGCTTTGGGAGGAGGGGGTTGGGCTGGGATGTCTTGAGGGTTTGAGCTGGGAACGGGAGTTCCTCAATCAAAGCCACAAGATTACAAGCAGTTTCCAAGAGAATTAGCCTGGGTACAGTTACCGCTGGTAATTCAGTTAGGGACTAATTCAGTAGCGCGCTCTCTCTCTTATCTTTGAAGGGTTCAACTTTTCCCACATCTTTCATTCACTCAGCCTCAAGTGCTGCATTATCATCTTCCTTCGTCAAAATCAGCAGCTTCTGGCTTCCCAAAGCCATCTAGCCAATAACTTGCTGGGTAAAAATAGCAAAGGACTAGAATGACCTTTTCCAGAAATGGTGGAATCCAGCATTTTTAAATCCTTCTCTTTCAAGTTGCCTCAATGTTCCTCAGTATGACCGCCTTTATTTTAGTGGGCGGTCTGAATTCAAGTGATAATGTGAGGTTATGCTGCTGTATACGTTTATTTCTTAAATGCCTGTTCTATTCACAGCATGAATGTCACATTGCTTGTAAATGAGAAGAAAAGGTTGAGGTCCTTCTTTGTGTGTGTCTCAAAATAAACTCAGTTCATTGTAATGGTCACACCGGTGGTCTGCGTAAATCTGCAAATTTGTACACAACTGGGAGAGACAAAATAATGATTAAGTGACTGATGACTGACACCCTCTGGAGAGTTTCTTAAGTCACAGAAGCTTCCTCCAGCCCCCAGCCCCCAGCTTTAATACTTTAGGGCAAGTCCATCAAAAGGTCTCTATTCATTTTTCTGTCCCTTCATTCAGGTCCATTCTGAAGCCCAGCCCTTCATTTTATCCACCAGCAGAACACAATGAATGACACTCTGGGCTGGACTCCCTCCTGCACCAAATGGGCAAGCTGGGAATGGGAAGGCTGGGCTAGACCCAGCATGCCAGGTCCAGCCAGAGGGCTAACACGGGTTTCCACTTGCCTGTGATTGAGTTCTCATCTGTAATGCAAAATCCTCCCTGAAATCCAGGGGCCAAAACATAAGCATTAAAACCAAAGCCAGACCTACCGAGTCCTGGCCACTCCTCCTGGAGCCCAACTAGAGGGGACTCCAGCTAAATCAAAGTAAGTCACTGCAGCCTCTCAGAGTCCATCATGTTTCTTGGTTTCCCCTGTAGCCAAAATATTTCTTTCCAAGGAAAGGGCCTTTTGTGAATACTAATTTCCAACAGTAAACAAATGTTTTGCTAATAAAAAAAAAAGTGCCATAGCCCATAATTCAGTATTTAAACTGTTTACTCTCTTTTAATTAATTAATTTATTTGGTGGTACCGAAGGAAATAGGGGCAAGGGTGAGACTTAAAAACTCCTTAGTCAGGTATCTTTAACAACCAAGTAGCTGTCAAGTCAATTTTTTTAAGGTTTTCTCTTATTTTCTTTGCTATGGAAATATACTAATAACTGTATTAATTTACCATCTGGTTTCTTTTTGCTTAAAAGCATAATTTACCAATAGCTTTCTCTTGGTGACTCTGTTGGAGCCTCCTTAGACCTGGATTTTGCAAAGAACTAGCCAGGGTACTGATGTCTAATCTGAGTACTTGCAGAGAGAAAGAACTTTACACCAAGATATCTGGCTGGCAGTTTCATCTGTCTTCGAACCTGGGTCTGTCACTTACTGGAGATAAGATCAGAAATCCCCCATCCTCCTGTCTTGACTGCTCAAGGATGGAAACTAAGCAGAATATTACTTTGTGTCAAGTCTGGATGGCCCCACAGGATAAAGTCCTTGATTCTTGTCTATGAGTTCTCTTTTCTGAAAGTTCATTCCAGTTTGTACCATGACTTTGCTTTGGCTTTTGCTTGTTTGTTTGTTTGGAGTTTTTAATTACACAGCTAATAGGTAAATGTGTAAAACATCAAGACAATACCCAGGTAACCCCCACATCCTCACTAATCTCCCTTCCTTCCCCAGAGGTTGTTAACCCTGTTGGTATCTATACTTTCCAGACCTTTTCTATATATTTGCATACACACTCATATACTAGAATGTCTTTGTTTTCAGCTAAGAATAATCCATTTTCTCTCTATTCTATTGTTGAAGTTCCACACATTTCTGCATATTTTTATTTTTAACCTAGCTAGAGAGTCTCACAAAGTGAACCTTTGTCGGGTGCCCACATTAAATTAATGAATAGATCTTGGGGGAAAAAAAGAACACACACACACACACACACACAGGTTTTTTAGGGCTTACTAAAAATATGGAGGTTCGGACCCAGATTTTGATTACACAAAGCTTAACTAGTGTTCCCTGTGCCTCTGAGAAAATGCAAAATGTTGCTGACAGAGGATGTGGACGATCTGCCCTATGATGCATTTAGCAGAATAAGTGTAGCCACCATTGATTGAGTGCTGTGTTCTAGAAGTTATGGGTCAAGTGCTTTACATGTATTAGCTTATTTAATTCTCACAGTCACCCTATGAAGTAAGAAAAGTTATTAAATGTACAAAGTGTGGCTTAGAGAGATTAAACAACCAGCCCAACATCCCCTAGCTAAAAAGTAACAGAGCCAACATTTAAACTTTCTTTGACCCAAAGCCTATATTCTAAATCCAGAATGTCTATTTCAACACACACTCCCCCCACTTTTTTTTCTCCCCTATAGCAGAATCTTTTTCTCCTCAAGTGAAATCTTGATGCCATTACCCAATTTACAAAAGCTACGAAGGCAGCCAGTCCTCAGCAGACAAGCATCTCAAAGTTCCCGTCCAACCCTCAGTGGTGACTGAGGCAGCTCTGGGATCCCAGCTTCTAGGAACATGATCTGAAGAAAGGCAGTCCCTGTGCTTGTTCTCCAAATCCTCTGGACTAATGCTTTCTACCCTCACGTCTTAAAAGCTCAACTAAATCAGCTTAATTTCATTTAGTCGAGGATTGCTCAGCCAAACTCGATAAGAGTTCTACTTTCATTCTCTACGTGTTAACGATAAGTTAACATTAGATGCCTACGGATTATGTTTTATTCTTAAAGTCTCTGAAAATTCATTTAAGATGAATGGGAAAATGTCCTTATCAGTCTTACACTCTCACAATCCCAGAGCTTTAAAAAGTTATCAATTGTGCCAAAGATAATCCATTTTCATGGATTTAAAGATTTATTCCATGGTTCAGATTCTTGCACCATGACTCAGAAAACACCAACAAATGACATTATCTTTGACCTGATAATCCATTTTGGAAATTCCTTAAGTAGGTTAAAAAAAAAAAAGATTTCAATGGACATAATTAAGTTATCTTTTGTAAAATTTCTAAGGAAAACTAGCCAGTATGGAATTTTGGATTTGAAATGAACCTTAGAAATCCTCTCGTCGACCTCCCTATGTTAAAGATGAGGAAACTGAGTGTCTGGCCGGTAAAGCACCTACTCAGACTGCAAGGAGGCTAAGCCATCCCTCATTGGTAGAATTTTCACATCCAGATGAAATGTGCTGTCCTCTTTATTATGCTCTCAAACAAGTTCAGTGCTTCATGCCTCATTCACTCATTTCTTTTTTTTTAGCAGATAGAGTAGGAATGAAACCCAGTTCTTGTCTTCATAGAGCTAACTGCCTCATGACCACCAACTTTGACATCTCCTGTCAAACTTGTCTCGACTCAGATATGTCATGATTTTATGCATTTGCACAATTCCTTGCGCTGTTCCTTACTAACAATACATTTCATAATAACTGTCACTTATGCAGCACTAAGATTGCTGAACACTGTTTTAAGAGGCTTCAGTCTATTACATTTTTAAATTCTCAAACATGAAAATCCTAAGGAAGATGCTACTGTTATCCCGACTTCGCAGATGAAAAAGGAAAGGTGAACCGAGGTGAAGGAAGTCCAAAGTCACACAGCTAGCTTGTGGCAAAGTCAGGGGTGGGATCAAAGTGTGTGGCTGCAGAGTCTGTATCCTTAACCACTGCACATCCTGTCTGTGTCTTTAAACAACCCAGCATGGTCAGAGGAGACTTGAAGAGGTCTGACAGCCTTAGGGTCCTCCTTTCTCTAAAACTCATCAGGAACAAAGCAAAAGCTTTCAACCTGGTTATGATGTTTACTCTAGCAGAGCTGAGAAGTGAAATTAACCTCCTCCGAAGTGGTTATTCTCCACAACTGTCCCATAAACTGCTCCCTTTATGTTTTATTTCCCTTTACTGTTCTATTATGTCTGCTTAAAGCATCTGAATTGGGATGATAACAAAGGTTCTTTTCTTAGGTGAAGCCCTCGATGTCTTCTCAGAGGGCTGGCATTTACTGCGTGTTTACTAAGGGTCCAGCCTTACTATGGTAGCATTTTACTAGTGTCATCCTCACATCGCTCCGTCATGCCTATTTTACAGCCAAGGAAACTGAGGGTCAGAGAGGTTAAGGAACTGGTCAAGAGGTGTAGCCAGAATCCAACTCAGGCAGTCAACTTTAGTATTTCCATTTGCATCACTGGAGTGCACTGCTAAGAGTCGAACACTGCTGCAGGGTTGGCTCTCCCCACTGGAAACTACCTGTGAAGACGATTCAGAGAGGATTACACACGTGTGTGGTGGTGTGGTCATGTGGTCATCGCTACGGAATTACGTTTCCCACGCGACTCCTGAGGGAGGTAGGAATACTTCCCAACAAATCAGAAGTGTGTCTCTGATTTCTCCAAGACTTATTTGATCATACTTCCTGGAACCATAGTGATGATTCCAATGGCTTCTACTCTGCTTTCTTTAGAAGTTGCTAAAATCTGAGCTGTTTGAGTCCCTCCTGTGTTCACTCAACAGCATAGTACATGGCTCCAGTCACACTGTGC